TTCGCTATGACATAAACGCTACACATTTCTGTAGTAATGATACTTAGAATTTTGACTTTGTTTTTTTTTTTTTTTTAGTGGCTGTTAATATGCACCATGATGTTCTGGCAATGCTAGGCTATGGCAGTGAGTTAAAATTCCCGCTCAGTCATACAACTAAGTGAGAAGGAACAGATAGGGTGTAACAATGTGTGTGTGCGTTGGGGGGGGGGGTGTTTTGAGGAAGGGGCCTAGGATTTTGTGCATGCTGGGAAGATATTCTACCACCCAGCTACCCAACCCCAGACCACCAACACTTTTTTTTTTTTGACGCCGAATTTTGTACCTTCACTAGCTAGCCTGTCTACGAAGTGCATGCACAAGGCATTCGGCACCTTGTTATAAAATCGGCTTCCTGAGAGGGGAGTTCTGCGGAGCTGCAGGATGATGAAGTGTTCTGAGCATGTGGACTAGCATGAGAAAGGTTGAACAGGTTAGCTGTATTCACCTGATTTCTCGTGTGGGGAGGAGCAGCGTATACGTGTGCCTATGCAGGCACGGAGGCCAGAGGTGGCGGGGCGTTGGCTCTCCCGTGTGTCGCTCTCTGCTCCGTTCTTTTGAGACAGAGTGTCTTGCTCAGCCTGGAGCTTGCTGGTTTTTGTCTAGGCTGCCTGACCAGCAAGCCTCAGCAATCCTCCTGTCTCTGCCCCCCAGTGCTGGGGTTACAGACAAGTGGGGACCCCCTTCAGCTTTTTACATGTGTCCTGGGGCCATTCTTACACAGCAAGTGCTCTTTCCCATTAGGCCATCTCTCCAGACTCTCTCTCTCTCTTTTTTAAAGGTTTATTTATTATGCATACAGTGTTCTGTCTGCATGTATCCCTGCACACCAGAAGAGGGCACCAGATCTCATTACAGATGGCTGTGAGCCTCCATGTCGGTGCTGGGAATTGAACTCAGGACCTCTGGAAGAGCAGCCGGCGCTCTTAACCTCTGAGTCATCTCTCTGGTTCCTTTTTGTGGTTTTTCAAGACAGGGTTTCTCTGTGTAGCCCTGGCTATCCTGGAACTGGCTCTGTAGACCAGGTTGGCCTCAAGCTCAGAGGTCTGCCTGCCTCTGCCTCTGGGAGTACTGGGATTAAAGGCTTACATTGCCACCTCCCAGCTCTCTCCAGACTCTCTCTTTTTTAAACTTTATTTATTTATTTTTTATGTGCATTGGTGTTCTGCCTGCATGTATGTCTGAGCGAGGGTGGTGAATCCCCTAGAACTGAAGTCACAGACAGTTGTGGGCTGCTATGTGGGTACTAAGAATTGAACCTAGGTCCTCTAAAAAAACAGCCAGTGCTCTTAACTATTGTTCGAATCTTAGATGGTCTTTTAATTAAAAATTAGGTCCTCTAGAAAAACAGCCAGTGCTCTTAACTATTGTTCGAATCTTAGATGGTCTTTTAATTAAAAAACCCAGAGCCAGATATCAGGGTAAAAGCTGAAAGATCAGAGAAGCAGAACAGCCAGCTACGAGTTCTTACCTCTAAGAAATCCTCAGCCTAAAGAGAGTGAGTTCCTGTTTTCTCACCCCTTATATAACCTTCTCTGCCCAGACATCACTTCCTGGGATTAAAGGTGTGTGCTACCACTACCTGCTTTCCAGTTTCCAGTGTGGCCTTGAACTTGCAGAGATCCAGACTGATCCCTGCCTCCCAGTGATAGGATTAAAGGTGTGTGCTACCACTGCCTGACCTCTATGTCTAATCTAGTGGCTGACTCTGTCCTCTGATCCCCAGGCAAGTTTATTAGGATACGCACGCAATATATCACCACACTTAACCACCGAGCCAACTCTCCAGCCCCTCTCTCCAGACCCTTAAATGCACATTTTCAATGTAAAATGTTTGGGACACATGATGGGGTTATCATGATGTCAACCCACCAGAAATTGAAAAGCATCCTATTACGTACGTGTCTTCAATTATTCTAGATACTGGGAATGCTGGGTAACCATCACAGACAAGGGCCAAAGACGTGGCTCAAAGTGTAAAAGCACTTACTTTGGGCACCTGATAATCTGAGTTTGATCCCTGGAATAGTGGAGGGTGAGGACTGACTCCCGAGAGATGTCTGCTGACCACACACACACACACACACACACACACACACACACACACACACACGTATTGGTGAAATTAAGGCCACTCCTCGTAGTTAAAAGGAAGATTTATTTAGTGGGTAACTTACAAAAAAGGGATAGGTAGGTCGTGGGGTCTGGGGAAGGTATATCGAAGTCCAGCGGTGTTCTCTGGAGCTCTGCTCGGTCAACCTCCACCATCTAGGGTCCAGGAAAAGAGAGCACGCTGGCCCATCCAGATCTCAGGTCTCTCGGCGCCTCCCTTGGCCCCCGCCTCGTAGGCGTGACAGTTGTCAAAGCCTCAATGGGGGTTGGAACTTCCAGATCAAAGCTGGAATGGCTACCCACTACACACACACACACACACACACACACACACGCATGCACACATATGACGTGGCCACATATACCATGCCCATGCACACACAGGAAAAATACATAAATATTTTTAACAGCAAACAAGTCCTTACTATTGTTCATAGAATCTTCACCATGACCCAGAGATGCATAAAGCAAATATATAAGAGATAGGAAAATGTCTTTAGAAGCCTGTGATGAAATGTAATCAGTACACAAATGTACACTGTGAGTGTAATTTTGAATATTCAGTAGCTGCACTTAAAAAGATAGAAGGAGGTTTGGGAAAGTGGTTCAGCAGTTAAATCACTTGCCATGAGGGCATGGGGACCAGAATCTGGATCCCCAGAACACATGTAAATGCTGGGTGAGCATGGCAGCTCACTTGTAATTCCAGATCACCACAGCGAGGAGCTAGCAAAACCAGTCATGTCTTCACACTCTGGAGTTGATTGACAGACCTTGCTTTATTGCATAAGGTAGCAGAATGGTGGAGGATAATACCCAACATCAGCCTTGGGCTTCCACACAAAGACAGACAGACAGACAGACAGACAGACAGACAGACAGACAGACAGACACACACACACACACACACACACACACACACACGGTATGGTCTGGCATGGTAGTGCACACCTTTAAAATATGATCACTCAGGAGGCAGAGGCAGGCAGATCTCTGTGAGTTTGTGGCCAGCCTGGTCTACAAGAGTGAGTTCCAGGACAGCCAGGGCTACATGGAGAAACCCTGTCTTCAAAACCAAAACCAAAACCAAAACCAACAAACAAAAACCGAGGAGATTTCAGTCTGCCTGAGTTAATGAGCAGTTGTGGGGCCTGGAATACAATGTTGGGGTTCAGAATGTGCTTAGCCTGCCTCGGGCCCTGGATTCTCTTCCTAGTGCAATGGGAATGGTATAAAACTGGAGTTCCTAGGGGAAAGGCTGGTGGACAGGCCACAGCTTTGTGGTTGGAGAGAGCTGGAATGCTGCAGATACACAGCTGAAATTATTTTGGACCATCTTAATTCTCTTAATAGCCACTCACTGCCTACCTCCATTGCCATCCTTTCAACTATCAGGTAAAGTCTTTGGAACGCATCATGTAACAGAACCCTAGCTTCCACTGGCCCCAAAGCTGCGAGTGTTACTTGAAAGCATCCCAAACCTAGGGCAGAGTTTTCCCTGGTTTGTCCTAATCTATCTGCCTGGTGTTCCCATTAACAAACGTGGTCTTACGGTTTTCATTTGCCGTGTGGCACACCACTCACATACGCATCAATTAAGGTAAATATTTAAAAATAGATATAATGTATGTATAGCTAGATAGATATGGATGTGGAACAGAGATGCAGACACAGATGTTTGTGATGTGACACTCTGTGCATCCAGTCTAATGACAAATGATAAATGTTTATCCCCCATTACCCTGATCCGCATCTAGATCCGGTTTTTGCAACCACATCTTGGTGCATGAAATATTTCAATCTCTGAAGCTCCCGCTGCCCTATCCTCACCCTGCTTGACCACCCACTCCTTCCTCCCTACAAGTGGTTTCCATGGTGACCTTCTCTGGTTGCTAGCAAGGTTGAGTACCCTGCGGAGTGGTGGTGGGGGGGGGGGAGGAAGGCTTCTTGTCAAGGGCAGAGTGGATTGAGAGTGGGTGGGGAGACTCAAAAAGGGTTAAATCCTGCGGCAGGAGGACACAAAGGGGTGAGGAGGGATGATGTTTTGGGGTGCCTGGCAGAGTGGGAAGGGAGAGTTGGTATGCATGTGGCCAAGGTTCATTGTTTCCTTGTATGAAATTATCAAAGAATAAATAAAAGACTTTCTATTTAAAAAAAATAATAACCAAAACAATAAGTCCTTCAGTCCCTTTCTGCTGCCCCTTTATTGGTCCACTCAAGCCCTTGGCACTTACTAAAGACCTCTAGGTCATTTCTGAATTAGAGGGGGGCAAAAATCTAGCCAGGCAGGCTGCTGGCTCAGATGAAAGTCATGGGTTCTTGGTGGGCAGCTGCCGCAGGTGCGGGAGAAAGCCTCATTATGTTGTCTCCATGTTCACCATTCAGTACATTTTGTCCTTCCTTTTTTTGTGTGTGTGGCTGATGGAGGACTTCCTTTATGTGCCAAGGAGGTTATTAGGCACTTGAATGCAATTTCAAAACCTCTTTGCTATAAGAAATGAAACACCGCTCTGCAAAAGGAGTCCAATAGCTCTCCCAGAGAATAAAAAGCGTGAGAGTTCTATTTATTCCTGTTTCAAAAGACATCAGGCTCTTTTGTATTTCCCCATATTTTCTGGGATTTTGGGGGGGGAGGTTGGGAAGACTTATCAATTGTTGAGAGTAGGGTATTGAAGTCCCCCTACTGCTTTTGGACTAGGGCTTATCTATGGCTTTGCATCTAATAGCATTTGTTTTATAAAATTGGGTGCACCTGTGTTCGGGATGCATGTGTTTAGAATGTTAATGGCCCTGTGATGGATTGTTCCCTTAATCAGTCTTAAGTGACCCTCTTTATCTTTTCTCTCTAGCTTTGATATCGGCTCTTGTTTTGGTGCAACCCACGAGTTCCCCAACCACCTGGAAGAACTAACAGGAAGTGGACAAAAGCAAAGACACAACCCCAGCTTAACGACTCGAACGATACTTCTTCCATGGTCAGCACTGGGTGAGGGCAATGGTGGGCGTAGGTTGTCTGGAACTGTGAGTTCAGAAACCAATGGCATCGGGATGCTGTAATTGTTTCCTTGTATGAAAATTGTCAAAGAATAAATAAAAGATATTCTATTTAAAATAATAATAATAATAATAATAATAATAATAATAATAAGCACATCAATAAGTCCTCAATTCCCTTCTCCCCGCCTCACACTGGGCCACTCAAGCCCTTACTTAGGTGCTAAAGACCTCTAGGTCCTTTTTGAATTAGAGACAGGAGGCACAATGCAAAGACCTGAAGATGGGTGCTTTCCAATATGACCTTGGATGGGGGGGGGGGCAACTCTCCACCAGTCTCAGGACAGGAGGCAGATGGTCCATGAGAAAGAACCAAGGAACATCTGCTTAAGCAAACGTTCCATTTCCATTACTCATGAAAACAGTCCAAACTGTTTTTATCTACTAGGTATGGGCTGCATCACAAGATTACTTTCTTGCCGGGCGGTGGTGGCGCACGCCTTTAATCCCAGCACTTGGGAGGCAGAGCCAGGCGGATCTTTGTGAGTTCGAGGCCATCCTGGTCTACAGAGCGAGATCCAGGAGAGGCACCAAAACTGCACAGAGAAACCCTGTCTCGAAAAACCAAGGTGAAAAAAAAAATTACCTTTGTGAAAGCATGGACCATTGTGTCTCCAAAATATCATGGTTCTGAGTAGATGGTGGAGGCCTAGAGCAAAGACTGCAGGGCAAATAAGCTTAATGTGTTTCTCTTCAGGGAAAGTTGATGCGACGCTGAGTAGAATGGACCCGGAGGCTCAGTGGGCAAAGTGCTGGCTATATAAGTGCGAGGACCTGAGTTAAGATCCTCAGTACCCATATAAAGGCAGATGCGGCTTTACAAATCTGTAAATCCCAATGCTCCTACAGTGAGATGGGGGTAGAGACAGGTGAGTCCTAGGAAGTTCACAGCTAGCTGGGCATAGGTAGCAGTGCAGAAAAGACCCCCACCCCAAATAAGGTGGAAGGCAGGGACCAGCACCCACGGTTGTCCTCTGACCAACACATACGAGCACATACACACTGTTTCATTGGTTTATTTTTAAAGATTTGTTTTTATTTTATGTGTATAGAGATTTGCCCATATGTTTATCTGTGCATTGTACGTATGTACTGCCTGAGGGGGCTAGGAGAAGGCATCAGGTCCCCTGGAACTGGAGTTACAGACAGAGTGAACTGCAGTGTGGTTGCTAGGAACTGAAGCCCAGTCCTCTGGAAAGGCAGTCAATGCTCTTAACCATTGAGCCATCTCTCCAGCCCCACAGAGATTTTGTTTTCAAAGAATTAAGATTATGCTGGGCCTGGTGGTACATACCTTTAAGACTAGCACTCAGGAGTTAGAGGCAGTTGGCTATCTGTGAGTTCAAGGCCAGCCTGGTCTATGTAGAGAGTAACAGGACATCCAGAACTGTCTCAAAAAACCTTCATGATATTTATAGATATAGATATATAGATATCACAATTCATATATATATATATATATATATATATATATATAATGATTGATATATGTGATACTGTGACAGATCTGTGAAGCAGGGTATAGGGAGTTGGAGCTAGCCTGGGCAACCCTCCTTATTCCTTGTGGTTGGTTGTGTGTAAATGTGAAATTTTATCAATTATATTAGTTTTTTTTTTTCTCAATGTGACAAAATGCTTGACAATAAGAACTTGGGGTTGGAGCAGGGTTTACTTTGACCCGTATTTTCAGAAGATCTCAGTCCATCAAGGCAGAGATGACCCGGTGGCAGCCAGAGTCTAGGAATACTTCTCCAAATGGTGCCAATGAGGAATTAAAGAGAGCAGACTGTAGCCAGGCTGGGTATCCCAGTGAGGCCCAACCAAACCAGTGACCTACTTTTCTACCAGTGAGGCTCCTGTTCCCCAACTTCCCAAAACCCCATCACCAGCTGGGATCAAGTGCTCCAACATGGGACACCTTACATTCAAACTCTTCTTTTAGGGCTAGAGAAATGAGAACCTCCTATGTGCTAGGCAAGCATTCCACTACTGAGCTGTACTGCTGCTTGCCAGCATTTAATTCAGCCGTTCTCAACCTGTGGGTCACAACACCTTTGGGGGTCAAATGGCCCTTTCACAGGGGTCCCATATCAGATATCCAGCATATCCCACATTTACATTATAATTCATTTTTTAAAGATTTACTTATTTATTATGTATAGTGTTCTGCCTGCATGTATGCCTGCTGGCCAGAAGAGGGCACCAGATCTCACTACAGATGGTTGTGAGCCACCATGTGGTTGCTGGGAATTGAACTCAGGACCTCAGTGCTCTTGACCGCTGAACTGTCTCTCCAGTTCCTACATTATGATTCATAACAGTATCAAGATTACAGTTATGAAGTAGCGAAGAAATCATTTGATGGTTGGGGAGGGTCACAACATGAGGAACTGTATTAAAGGGTCGCAGCATCAGGAAGGTTGAGAACCACTGCCATAATTGTTTCTCTTCCTTAGCATATCCTGTAGCGGCAAATGATTGGAGAAAACCCCAATATCTTTCAAAGTAAAGTGGCCAAAAAACTTCTAATACACACACACACACACACACACACACACACGCAAAATAAAATATCTTAAAAGAATTCCAATCCCCCAAACTCAATATATGTATGAATGTGTGTGTGTGTGTCTGTGTGTGTGTGTGTGTGTGTGTGTGTGTGAGAGAGAGAGAGAGAGAGAGAGAGAGAGAGAGAGAGAGAGAGAGAGAGAGTGTTAAAGCACATGCCATGCATACAGGTTCCCTTGGAAGCCAGAGGACCAACTGATGTGGATACTGGAAATCAAACCCGGGTCCTCTGCAAGAGCAGTAAGTGCTCTTTACCTCTGAGCCATCTTTCCAGCCCCTAAAAAGATTTATTTATTTATGCGTATGTGTGTGTTTGGTTCCCATTAAATTCATATATTAAAACTTCTTTGGCACTGGGAGTGTAGCTCAGTTGCTAGACTGCTTACCTAGCTTGTATGAAGCCCTTGGGTTCAATTCCCAGCACAGCATAAGCAGGGTGTGGTGGCATACAGCTGTAAGCCTAGAACTCCACATCTGGAGAAAGTTCAAAGTCATCCTTCGCTATATTAATAGGTTTGAGGAGAGCCTACAATACACAGAACCCTGTTTCAAAAAGTAAAAAAAAAAAGGGGGGGCTGTAGAGATTGCTCAGAGGTTAAGAGCACTGGCTACTCTTCCAGAGGACCTGGGTTCAATTCCCAGCACCCACATGGCATCTCACACCTGTCTGTAACTCCAGCTCCAGGGGATCTGACACCCTCACACAGACATACATACAGGCAAAATACCAATGAACTTAAAATAAAAAATAAATTTAAAACAACAGCAATATAAATAAGTAAACAAAAAAAATAGAGCCTGGCATGATGTCCCATGCCTTTAATCCCATCACTCAAGAGGCAGAAGGCAGACAGATCTCAATCAATCAATCAATCAATCAATCAATAATAAAAACAGAGGCTGCAGAAATGGCTCAGCAGTTAAGAGCACTTGATGCTGTTCCAGAGGACCTGCTTTTGGTTCTCAACTCCTATGGAGGTTACTGCCTGCTCCCATAGGGTTTATTGTCAGCTCCAGGGGAACCTGATACTCTCTTCCGGCCTCCACAGGCACCTACATGCACATACTCATACACACTACATACATGTAGATGCAGAGATACACATAATTTTATTTTATTTTATTTTATTTATTATGTATACAGTATTCTGCCTGCAAGTATGCCTGACCTCCAGAAGAGGGCACCAGATCTTATTATTACAGATGGTTACACATAATTTTTTAAAAATCCTTTTTAAACAAGCAAAAGTAAATTTAATGCTACTGCGTTCCAGTAGCTAGTTAATATGCAGTCCATACTCACAAGTCAATCTCCCCAACAATTTACCGCCTGTCATTTTTTCCCTGACCTTCGTGTCACATCAGGATTGCACTGTGTCGTCTTATTTCTTGATTTTCATTAGCCTGTAATGATTCCTTCCTTACCTTTTCACAATACTAACATTTAAACTAAAAAAAAAAATTATTGGGGCCTGGAGAGAAGGTTCAGTGGTTAAGAGCCCTGGCTGCTTTTCCAGAGGACCTGGGTTCAATTCCCAGCACCACAAGGCATCTCACAACTGTCTGTAACTCCAGTTCCTGGGGATCCAACACCCTTACACAGACATACATGCAGGCAAAACACCAATGCACATGAAATAAAAGTAAATTGAGAAATATACACTGTGTGTGTGTGAATGGCGGAGGGGGTCACATATATCAAGGCATGTGTGTGGTAGCCAGAAGATGAGTTTATGGTATACGTTCTTTTCTTCCACCTTTCCTCAAGTCTCAGGATTGAACTCAGGCTGGCAGGCCTTCCCAGCAAGTGCCTTGACGTGCTAAGCCATCTCAATGTCCAGACGTTGACACACTTGAGAAAGGGTCCCACTATGTAACCTTAGCTGGCCTGGAATTCGTTATGTAGATCTGGCTGGCCTGAAATTCACAAAGATTCCCCTGCATCAGCCTCCCAAGTGCTAGGATTAAAGATGTTGACATTTCTGAAGAACACAGAGGAGTCTGTAGAATATTCCTCAGCCTATTTTTGCCTGACACTTCCTGATTCTCAAAGATTTTCATCTTGGTGCAAACATGTCTTTTCTTTCTCAGTTCATCTTCCCTCCCTCCCTCCCTCCCTCCCTTCCCT